CTTGGCTGGACTCACTCCAGTGCCTCAATGGCCTTTGGGCAGTGAGTGCCCAAAGCTGAGCACAGCACTGAGCTGGGACCTCCAAGTGCCCAGTCCAGGGGGGTGAGCACTGCCCTAGTGCTGCTCCCACATTGCTCTAGACACAGATTTGCAGTGCTCATCACCCCCAAACCTACGTGGAGCTGAAGTCTGCCCAGTTGTTGGCCGTGGCAGGACTCTCTGTGGCAGGAGGAGCTCCTAGGGGGGTGGTGGTTTCCCGCACGGAGACCTTGGGTGCAGCTGAGGACTCGACCACAGGCTTGACCGAAGCTGGGACTTCACTCTCTGGGATCTTCTCTGCATAGTTTGCAGGGAACCATCCAGTCTTCCCCTTCAGCTCTCCACCAAGCCACCCTGGCTCTCCAGTCTGGCTCTCATCCACCTGGAGACACAGGAAGTTACAGAGTTATGACATACACCAAGCAAATGAATTTTTACTTAAATCAATCCTTGTTCTCCACAGTAATTAGTCATCTGCAATCCAATATCGCTTGATAATTCCTTTTTTTTCCTTCCCAAGCCAGAATTATGGAATCATGGAATGGTTTGGGGTGGAAGAGACCTTAAAGATCATCCCATCCCACCCCTGCCCTGGGCAGGGACACCTCCCACCAGCCCAGGCTGCTCCAAGACCCATCCAGCCTGTGAGGTACTTCCACTGAAGTGGATCATCCAAGCTCTAATAACAGTCACACAGGTTGGACTCTCCCTCGGTGGGGCAGGAGGAGCAGGACGAGCAGGACTGGGAACCCAAAGTGCTGTTGTGCTGATGTCCGAAAAAGAACGTCTTGGACATGAACCACAGTCAGACACAAACCACTGGGATTATTCAGAAACATAGGAAAAAACCTACCGAAAGGCTGTACACTCAAGGAATTGAGAGCCCCATTAGTTTTAAGGGACAGTAACTCCTGAAACAGCCTATGAGATCATCAGACTTATGTTCAGTCAACCCAATTAGGTTTTGCAAAATAAAAATGAGATTTATGCTTATTCAACCCAATTAGGTTTTCTGTGGATACTGACGACTCCGCACACCCTTCCCCAGCTCCTGCCCTGGACACCTGTAGCCCCTGCATGTCTCTCCTGCAGAGAGGACACAGGACTGACACAGCACTTCAACAACTCACCTCTAGTTCACTGAATTAGGCTCAAATCCATGTAAATAAGCTGCATCATATCCAACATCACCAACAAGAGAACTGAGGCCTTTACTCAGGCTGAGCCTGACAGCAGCAATGCCAGAGGGACTCATTCCACAGGAGAGCTCTCCAGGAGAAATGGATTGTAAAGGCACTGCACAGAATAGGACCTCATTCCTTCCCCTGAGCCCTGGAAGGGGCCTGGTTCTCCTGGGTTCCAATATTTGTTCTACAGAATCACTGAGGCTGGAAAAGCCCTCCAAGCCCATCGAGTCCAACCTGGGACCCATCGAGCAATGCCAGAGGGACTCATTCCACAGGAGAGCTCTCCAGGAGAAATGGATTGTAAAGGCACTGCACAGAATAGGACCTCATTCCTTCCCCTGAGCCCTGGAAGGGGCCTGGTTCTCCTGGGTTCCAATATTTGTTCTACAGAATCACTGAGGCTGGAAAAGCCCTCCAAGCCCATCGAGTCCAACCTGGGACCCATCGGCACTTCTCAGCTAGAGCTCTGATCTGAGTGCCACGTCCTG